TTTTTTTTTTTTTTTTTTTTTTTTTTTTCTTTCCTTATCTTGGAATGCAAAGTCTGTACTCATAATAACACCCATTTAACATTTTTGTATGGAATGTAATAACCGCCCCCCCCCAAAAAAAAAGGAGAGTCAAATGATAAAGAACAAAGAAGTAATACATAAGACAGCCAAGAGGCTAGTTTCCTGAATACACAAATTAACAGGAAACAGATGACCCATCCCACAGAAATGCAGGCGACAGGCTTGAATCACAGGAGCTTTTGTTTCTCACTGTCCCTGGTCGTCATGGAGCCAGCACCAACTCAGACAAACCTAGTTATGTCTGAGGGTAAGTCGAAAAGTCCTGCGAGGATTCCAGTTCATACATCCATGGGTTTACCCCGAGCCTAAGGTGTTTAAGCGTATCTTCTGTGATCAGTCGATAAGTCCTCTCAGTGATACCCATCTCTTGGTCCCTTTAGGGAGCCTTCAAAAAATAAAGCCCAATCCAAACAGTGGCTTCCAGGGGGATCTGCTGGCCCAGTTCAACGCAAGGCACAGAGGTCAGCTCAGGAGGTGATGGTAATTGAGTTTTGAGATTCCAAGAGATAATGCTGATAGATCTTTCTCAAAGGACACAGGACAATCCAGGAACTTATTTGAAGAAAATTAAAAACTGTGTTGGTGTGTGAACAGCCATAAAAGTTGCACAGGGAAATTGCTTCCCTCTTGACAAGGTGCCTGCTAATTCTCTGAGGCTAGCCAGCACTGTCTGATGAGAATTCTGTTGGGAAACCCTGTGTTGGCTATATAATCGGTTGTCAATTTGAAAGGATTAAGAATGAAGGGGTGGAGTCTAGCCTGTCAATCAGAGCATAGCCAATGAGGCCTCTGTGAGGCATGGCCCTCTCCTAAGGATTCTGGGAAATCTGGTATTCCTCCTTGGAAGCAGGAGACTCTCTCTCTCTCTCTCTCTCTCTCTCCTCACTTCCTTCAAGGTAAGCTTGCTGATAAGATACATGGAATTATGCTAGTGCCCTGAGCTGGAGGAGCCACGTGGAGACCCCTGTAAGCTCTGAGATGCTTCCACCACCACTGGGTCCACAAGATTTTCCACCCACTGGCCTGTGATCTTGGTGCATTTGGCATCATTGCATGCAGACTTTATCGATTGATATCAGATACATGGGTTAATATAGGACTTACGGACTTGATCTGGACTGGGCTGGGATGTTCTCTTAATGAACAATTACTCTTTATATAATGCTCTTTCTTATACACATATCAGTGTCCATGAATTTGTTTCTCTAGTCTACCTGGACAATACAAACCCTATTCCATCCACTCTACTCTGTCATTTTTACATGGTATAAGTTGAAGAGGGTAGAAGTCTTCAGGGAAGAATTAGAGAGATAGAAAGCATTCAGAAGCATATGGACTGAGAGGGAGGATATGTCAAGAGACAGTAGCTTCACATTTTGATAGTTTTGTTTAATGAGAGATTGGAACTCTTCTACACAGCTGGTGGGCTGGTAAATATGCAAAACCATTGTGAAAGGGATATGACAATACTTAAAACAAGTGGCAATACAAAAAGCATATGACCCAGCAGTACCCTTGATGGGCATATCCCCAAAGAAAGAAAAGACACAACACAAACAGACATATACTCCCTCGTGTTCACTGCAGCACCGTTCACAATAGCAAGAAGGCAGAAACAGCCCAAATTC